TAGGTAAAAGGCATGAGTAACATGAGGATGGACAAATGTCACCCCTCACAGGCTAGTAACTAAATTTAATAGGTTCCTTTATAAGGATGAGAAAAGATCTCTGCATTCTTAATAAGGTACATTAATTAAATATCCCAAGACTGGGAAGGCCCCGCAGGAGAATATCCTCAAAGCTTGAAGGCTGAACTTTCTGAAAATTGAGACTCCGTGGTCCAGCTATTGTCCTAGACATCTAAACCATGTCTATTGGAAGAGTTTGACATGAAAAATTCATTCTCCTTGTTACTTTTGCTAAAGCTGGGACTGGCCTGGGCCACCTTCATCTGGTACAGACAGAGGGCAATGAAGACACACTATGTTATTGGGGACCTAGCTCCTTCTGGTACTGGACTTGTCTTTGAGACTTTCACTATCATTAGTGCATGGCAGGAACTTAGAGAGGTTGTGTGGAAAGAACATTCCTGATGAGATATTTTTATGAAAAATATGCTGGCAGCGCATTTGGACTTATTGGTTTGAAAAAGTCTTACTGATTATTACCAATGTTCCTTCCCATTTTAGATCTTTATTCTCTCTTCTGCATAAAAACCACCTTCCTTCAGACCATTAAGAGCTGAGGGTATTGGGACTTCCCTGGTGGTTCAGTGGTTAAGACCTTGCCCTTCAATGCAGGGGATGTGGATTCAATCCCGGGTGGGGGAGCTAAGATCCCACATGACTTGTGACCAAAAAACCAAAACATAAAACAGAAGCAATATTGTAACAAATTCAACAAAAACTTTAAAAATGGTCCACATTAAAAAAAAAAAAGAGAATAAGAGCCAAGGGTATAGAATATTAGCATTATTGAGCACATTTGAAGTGCTAATCACCCAGGAGTGCCAGATGACTTCCAGCAATTATTTTATTTAATCTTTGTAATAACTCTGTGAAATAGGTGTTATTATCTCTGTTTTATCTGTGAGGAAATAGAGGTTTAAGAAGTTGGGCAACCTTGTTCAAGGTCCCACAGTAAATGAGGAGCTATGATTCTTTCTTACTTTTGTCTGATTCCACCACCCATGCTCTTTTTACAATTCAAAGAACTCATGTACAAAAACACATATGCAACTTATAGACTAAATTTTTTAGACCAAATATTTAAACTTGTTCATATCAAGATAGGTAAAAAGACCTTACCAACATAAGGGACCATTTTCAGGTGATTGCTTTTAAGTTCAACACATTTTAATATTTTTGTGAATGATAAGCATATTTATTCTTGTATAATCACTTTTGTTATCTGCACTATATTGCCACCTATTTAAGAGAGGAAAATACGCCTACTTAAACTGTGCCAGGAAACTTTCTGTTAACACGATAAGGATGTTTTCACAGATCTGAAATGTGGGAAGGATTATAGAACGTGTTTATCTGAAACTCAGAAAATCCCACTCTCATCTTTCTTTCCCCTTGGTATAATTATATGTTTTGCTCTTTCTGTCTCTTTTCTCCAAAGTTCTAGAATTCAAGGGCTAATAAAAGCAGCCATGGCGCATGGTCAGCTTCACATGAGAGGCAGATATGTGTTTAACTTTCTGACCACCTGTCACCATTCAGAACAAGCCTTCTGGCCAGCAGGACTTCTGAAAGGGTCATTCAAGGCTGGTTCCTTATGGTACCATCACATCTATTCTCACCCTTTGGCCCAGCCACCTCTGGATGCAGTAAGTTGGAAGATGAAAAGATTGGGAAAGTTCAAAATAGCAAAGCAAAGAGACCATTTCAGATGAAAATAACAGAGGACCAAGTATGATTAAGATGGAGGTGTAGGTCTGGGACAGCGAGATCCAGCTGGGGAAAGATCACTGATTTACATGCAGATTCTCCTTTTTATTCTGCTTACTAGGGAGATTTCAACCCCCTTCAGTTTCTCTGTGGTTCGTAGTGGTGAAAGCACAAGAATACTCAGCCTCTGGTTTCAGTCTGTTTGTTTGTAAATATAAGTGATTGCTGATGTTGTTCATAGTGAGAATAAATCTTCCCTCCACGGAAAATTTGAAATGCTTAACCTTAGTCCGAAGGGATTAATTTTAGAAAGAAAATTCATGCGGTCTTTCTAGAACTTGAAGGTAGTAGTTCACCCAGAAGAGTGAACTACTGTGAGTGACCTACTGGAAAGTTAAACCCAGAGGCATTGCAGATGGTCCTTAGGGAGTTCCCGGTGCTTCTTATGGTCCCCGCAGATGATTCAGTGACTGGACCTCTGGAAAAGAGGAAACCCTGATAAGAATTGTGAGAGATAGACATGATATTCTCTTCAAAAGGATGATTCATGCATTATCATAGAGGAATAGCACAAAGAGGATCAGTCTAAATAGATACCACATGCTGGAAACTGAGGGTGGAAAAGTGCTCTCAAACATACCACTGAGGCTATCAGTCTTCTCGGTTGCAAAATGTAAGGATAGTATCACGGGGAATCCAAAGGAAATAGTTTTTCCCTCCTTGCACAGCTTCCTTTTATAGAATATAGCCTAACACAGTCAGAAACAACTTTGGGAAGGGATTGGACCCACACTTTTGCCCACAGACATGATTTAAAAGGTTTAATAAGCTCCAGAATATGCAGCCTCTTGGGTTGCATGGCACATTATCTTTGGAGGCAGCTGCCTGGGTTTGTGTCCAAGCTCAGCCGCTCACCAGCAGTATGACCTTGGGCAATGCCTTACCCTGGCCTTGCTTCCGTGTTTTCATCTACTTCCTCATAGAAAAGTACTCCATGACTGTAGGCCATCAATGAACATTGTTACCAGTACCCCTTTACAACTATTGATGATTTTCATTTTAAGGAGATTTTTCATTTTTAACTTCTTGCTGAAATTTCAGAATGTATTCTCTTTTTCTTGGCTCATAGGAAATGTTTTCTCTTTTTGTTGGCTCATAGGATGACTGATCACAGCATCACAGAGGGTGAGAAGCGGACGGGACCTTAGGTTATCTCAGTTCTGGCTTCCTTGCCTTGTGCACGAGCCTGGGGAGGGGTGTAGGTTCTCACAGGACAAAAGTAGACTTTGAACACACATCCCAGTCTGGTGGGTTTCTTTTCCATTATAACTCTTCACAGGCTTCAATTCGATGCTGCTTAATTTCTCCAAGACTTACTCAGGCTAATTCAGAAACTTGTCAGGCCAGTGACCTGTGGGAAGAGCTGATCAGTGCTAAGTATGATAACACTGCCATTCTTATAATCTTTTAGCACCTCATTAGCTTTCTTTTTCTTAACAGCATTGTCATATGGTGGACTTGCATTTGTTTTGAAAAAGAAAGAAGGGGAAATTTTTGTCTCTGAATGGAAGGCAGGCTCAGGCCATTGATCCACCCATTCCTCAGTAGACAGGATCAGAGGCACTGCCGTGGGGACAAAGGTCAGGGAGTGAGGAGAAGGGTCCCTGATGAGTGGGGTTTACTTAGGCTGAGAAGATAGAGTGGGAGACCAGCCTTTCATCTTTATACTGAATACCTGTTATGAATTTGGAATGGAGCTAAGCTCCCAGAGGGATGGAAAATGCCTAGGAGAGCATTTGAGGTTTCATGGAGTCTCTTCAGAGAGGGGTAGAAAGCAAGGGTGGAAGTGTAGTGGACACTCTGGAGTTCTTTGGAGCTCTGGACTCTCACAACACCCATGAGACATCTTATTCTTCCAGCTCAACTTGGCTAGGAGGAGATATTCCAGCTGACCAGAGTGGAGAATAGCAAAGCAATGATGTGGGCTGAAAATATGGGGGTGACAGGGTGCTTTCCTGTGGCAACCAGGTCAGGGAGTGGTGAGAGGTGTTCATGACCAGGGATTGAAAGCCGTGCTATCTTTTGGCTTTTCTACCAGCTGGCTGTGGGCTGGAGAGGAAGTCAGTTTCTCCATTTCCTAGGTCACCTAAGGAGAGGAAAATATATTACCTACCCCAGATTCCATTTGTCAATAATGCAATTCTACCATCTTGCTTTTCATGTTCTATGTTTTGACCTTTCAGCACAGCTTCCTCCCCACTGGTACTAATTCATGGAACCTCATCACACTGGTTTTAAAAAATGGAAGCCTGAATGCTTGGTGACAGAGCTTGCAGCAAGAGAAGAAGAAGAAGAAAAAAAAACTGTTGCCTATTCCTCCAAGTTACAGAGAAACTGGTACTATTATGCATCATAAAACTGGCCATTAAAATGTTACTTCTAACAGAAAATTCTGGAGAACACCCAGACTCTAAATATATCTTACTGCTCATCCCAGACCTTTGCTGAAATGTAAGCTTCTCCTTGTAGCCTTTCTTGACCAGCTGATTTAAAAAATTTGCCTCCATCAGACCCCTGATTTCCTACTCTCTCTCCCTCCCTGCAAGTCTTCTCCATGGCAATCACCACAATCTAACACATATTTTACTTATTTTGTATTTATTTTCACTAAAATAAATTCCTGACCTTCTGTATTCCCAGTGTGTCTAGAAAAGTACCTAGCATATAGTAACTACTTAATAAATATTTGTTGAATAAATAATGTTGTTATATTTTATGAAAATAGCTTTAATCTCCAAAAGTCTACACTTTGGATTTGTTTCCTTTATTAATAATTTGCTATCCTAGTAATGTATTTATTTATTTATTTATTTTTAGATATTTGAAATACAACTTTATTCTGATTCTAAACGAAAAGGAATGGGAATGACAGTAACAAACAAGATTCCACCTCTCAATATTGTCATGTGACTATAGCAGTCTTATATTTGAAACTCAAGGAGGAAACAACTGTGTTCCAAAACACCTAAATATGCAGGTCCAAAAAATGAAGTTTTTTTTTTTTTTAACTGCCACATTCACTCCAAAGCCCATCCATCTCCTTCAGCATCCAAAAATTAAGCACATGTTCTGCTTAGCTATATAATAAAGTGGCAAACACGCTGCACCACTGACATCACAGGACAGTTGCCTATAAAACTAGACTTCTGACGCTGGGCCCCAGCTTCACTTTCTCACAGGTCATCATCTTCATCCGGGAGAGCAGTTGTCTGAGCAACCTCTAAATCGTGCTCGTACTGTGCTGCCAAGGCTGGGTCCATGACCACCTCTGGCGGGGCAAGAGCAGGCATGGCGACAAACTCCAAGTTAGGGTCTCCAATCAATTTTCTAGCAAGCCAGAGGAAGGGCTTTTCAAAGTTGTAGTTACTTTTGGCAGAAATGTCATAGTACTGAAGATTCTTCTTTCGGTGGAAGACAATTGACTTAGCCTTAACCTTTCTGTCCTTAATATCCACTTTGTTGCCACACAACACAATTGGGATGTTCTCACACACTCGTACCAGATCTCTATGCCAGTTAGGCACATTCTTGTAAGTAACTCTTGATGTTACGTCAAACATTATAATGGCACACTGAGCTTGTATATAATAGCCATCTCTCAGTCCACCAAATTTCTCCTGACCAGCTGTATCCCATACATTGAACTTAATAGGTCCTCTGTTGGTATGGAACACAAGAGGATGGACCTCAACACCCAAGGTAGCTACATACTTCTTCTCAAATTCACCAGTCAGATGACGCTTCACGAATGTAGTTTTTCCAGTACCACCATCACCAACCAAAACAAGTTTGAACTGAACTTGGGGTTCTCCTTGGGCAGCCATCGCAATGTTACTTCCAGAAGCGTCTCCGCGCCCGTCTGACTGAGGCCTAGTAATGTATTTATACTGACAGTTCTTTTTCTGAAAGTTATAAATTCTCCTGGGGCTTTGTCCTTAAGCCAGAAAATGATCATTAAAGCTTCCCTATTCTCTCACATGTATGCAGGCAATGGAAAGCTTACAGGGACTAGTTTTCTTTTTTTTTGCATTATTTATTTATTTGGCTGCACCAGGTTTGTGGTGCACAGACTCTCTCTAGCTGTGGCACCTGGGTTTAGTTGCCCATGTGGGATCTTAGTTCTCTGACCAGGGATGGAAACTGTGTCCTCTGAGATGCAAGGTGGGTTCTTAAACACTAGGCTACTGGGGAAGTCTCTAGATTTCTTATTTAAACAGAGTTGGAGAGCCCGCCCTATTTAAATGAATAGGAGCTATCGCATGATGGCTTGACTTCCTTTAGCAGGTTCTCTTCCTATGGAGCCAGCATGCTGGGTGGAGCATTGCTCCAGGCCAGCTGCACCTGAGGGCCTCAAGCATCCAGGCTATGTGCCTTCAGAGAGTTCCTCCAGTGTTCCATTTACACAGTCCTGCACTGTTACCACTCACAGTGTAAGTGTCTGTGCATGCGTGAGTTGCTAAAAACACAAGACCCTGAGGATTCTGCATTCCGGAAGAATTCCAAAATCATTTGATGGCAGTGGTCGTAGGGGAAGAGGGAGTTAGGAGTTGTTCTTTCCAGTGTCTCTTGGTTCAGAGATGGTATGCCTCAGCAGTCTGTTTAGAGAGAAAGTTTGCAAAATTCCTCTGGGAAATAAGGTAGAAATGTTCAAGCTTCTCCCCAACAGTTCAAGACTTGGGGCTTGGGGCCTTAGGATTAAAAGGAGAGGAAATATGGTGAAAGGAGAAAGCCTGCCATTCCCTGTCCTCACCCTCCCATTTTATTCCGATCATGGTGGGATGTCCAAGGAATGTAGGAGCATTGATGTCTGTTCTCCAAGAGTCAGTTATTTGGTGTTCTAGAGTGCTCTATTATCTACTCTTTAGAAAATCTTGTTAGCAGATAGATGAGGGTTGGATAAAGCATTTCTGAGGGCAAACTTATCACCGATCTTGTGCACGATTGCATTCCCAACATGCAGCACAGCGCAGGATACACACTGCTCATTCATTGCACATTTCACTCACTCATTCATTCAACACATGTACTACGTGCCCATTTTGTGCCAGATTTATTCCAAGTACTAGAGGTAACACAGTAAGCAAACAGGCAAAATCCCTGTGTTCCAGCGGAGAGCTAAACAACAAATAAATAAGCAAGTAAAATATACAGCACATCAAATAGTAATGAATGCTATGGAGAAAAGTCAGGCAGAGAGGAGAGACGGTATTTGCTGGAGGAAGAATAAAGCACTCTGACCCCAAAATATTAGAGGTGTTATAACCCCATGATTTCATTTTATATTTGGAGGTAAGATGTTGAATTGAGAAGTAGGAAAGTAGCCTCAATTCCAGTGTTTCTTCACCTTGTTGATATGGAGAGTTTATTAGTCAGCACTTTTCTGTCTGAGGTGCTGCAGGGGGCTAAGACCCTACCTAGAGCGAAGTTTGGTTTGAACTCAGTTCTCTTCTTTGCACAGTGACTCCCTCACCTTAATTTATAGCAGCGCTTTCTGGTGTCAGTTTGCTCATTTTAAATGCAGTGAATTGTGGATGATAGATCTTGGGCCCTTTAGCTGCTTCTATGTAAGTGACAATAAGTCAGTGAAAATGGAAGAGATGAACTCGGACACTCTGTCTCAGGGTGCAGATGTACATGGATGGTAAAGTTAACAAGTCTATCGATCTGCCAGGGACCCACAGAATTTCTCCAGCTCTCATCACACCGGCCCCAGACTCCTGTAGCTGCCACGTCAGGCAGTCTCTTTGAAGGAAGGAGAAGGCAGTGAATGCATCAGCACCCGAGGGACTCTCAGTTCAGTTTAGCCGCTCAGTCGTGTCTGACTCTTTGTGGCCTCATGGGCCCCATGGAAGCAGCACGCCAGTCTTCCCTGTCCATCACCAACTCCTGGAGCTTGCTCAAACTCATGTCCATAGAGTCGGTGATGCCATCCAACCATCTCATCCTCTGTCATCCCCTTCTCCTCCTGCCCTCAATCTTTCCCAGCATCAGGGTCTTTTCCTAAGAGTCACTTCTTAGCATCAGGTGGCCAAAGTATTGGACTTTCAGCTTCAGCATCAGTCCTTCCAACGAATATTCAGGACTGATTTCCTATAGGATTGACTGGCTTGATCTCCTTGCAGTTCAAAGGACTCTCGAGTCTTCTCCAAGACCATAGTTCAAAAGCATCAATTCTTCGGCGCTCAGTTCTCAGGGAATTTGACTCAGGGAATTCAATAAGACATTGCCGCCGCTAGGCATCAGAAAGGAGGAATATGTGGGTCTGTTTTCCATGCTGTGGCCTGGGAAACAAGCTGTTGACCTAGGGGTGGGCTCAGGAGTGAAAGTGGGAGGGGGCTGGGTAGCAGCTGTCCTGCTTCAGTCTCGGGAGTGAGGCATTTCGTGAGAACAACATGGAAGCTGAAATTGCAACTGGTGTTTTAAGCAAGGGAGGGAAAAGTGGAGGAGGAAGGAGTCAGGAGAAGGAAGGAGAAGGAGGCCACTTCCATGCCCTCTCCCCAGGACTGGCCAAGGAGTCAAGGACAACCTCTGCATCACACAGATGACTAGACTTCACACACTTGTTCCCAGTTGTTCTCTAATTCAGATTGTATTATAGGTGATGGATTTCTTTAGTGTAGCCCATGGCTCCTAGCCCAGTGCCTGGGCCACTTGCTTTTACTCAGACCCAGATACCTGCTCTGCTTCTGGAAACTTAGGTAAGCTACCCAGTCTCTCTGAGGATCAGTATCTCCACCTGTGACACAGAGCTGACAATAAAGACCTATGGGGCTGTTATAAGGATTAAGTGAGTTCACACTTGAAAGTGGTTGCATCTTGGCACTCCATAATTTAGTTTATTTCTTCTCAGTTATTCCACTTTATTGTTGGGCGTTTCTTATGTGAGTCGCTCAGTCGTGTCCAACTCTTTGTGACCCCATGGACTATATCCCGCCAGGCTCCTCTGTCCATGGAATTCTCCAGGCAAGAATACTGGAGTGGGTTGCCATTCCCTTCTCCAGGGGATCTTCCTGACCCAGGGATTGAATCCAGGTCTCCCGCATTGCAGGCAGAGTCTTTACTGTCTGAATCGCCAGGGAAGCCTTTTTTCTTATGTTAAGTAAATTTATGGAATAACTACTAGTGTGCAATGCAATTTACTTCCTATTATTTGTTTTTTTATAACACTGTGAAGATGGACTCATAATTTCTGAAAATGTGAGTTTTCTTATTCAGTTTCAAAGATGAAGAGGTACAGATGATTTTAGAAGACAGTGAAGCTTGTGTTAGGATCACAAAACCTCAGAGCTAGAAGACATTGAGAAGTCATCTGGGACCCCTGCTGCGTTGTCCTAGTTTCTTGACAGATGGTCATGAAGCATTGGTTTGAACGGGTCTGGTGGCAAGGGCACAGTCCTGTTGTTCCTTATTTCCTGGGGACACATCCTGGGGACGGCCTCCTCCGTGGACTACCTCCTCCCAACCTCCTGAATCACATACTGTGTCCTCCAGCTCCAGAGTCTGAAATCTGTCACCCTTCCTTACTGGCAGGAGTATCTTGAGCAAGCGTTTTAGCTTTACTGTGCCTTAGTGTCCTCATTTGTAAAATGGGGATAATAATAGAAAATGCATCATAGAATTGCTGAGAGAATTAACTCATATAACTCATGTAAAGTGTTCAGAACAGTATAGTAAGCACACAATAGATATTAGTTTTTATCACAGAGAACACACAGTTCTACAGATTTGTACAAATATTTTCTCTCCTCCTCCTCATCAAACACATTCTTCCAGTCTCTTTCAGAAGGACCCACTGGGTCTCTTGATAGGAATATATCTTACAGGTCTTATAAAACCATCACTCCAAAACTTTGATAATATCTACATAACTAGCTTCCAAATGCCATCCCTATATATGTACATATATTTTATATATATATATGTGTGTGTGTGTGTGTGTGTGTGTGTGTGTGTGTGCGCTCAGTCACGCAGTTGTGTCTGACTCTGCGATCCCACGGCTCCTCTGTCCATGGGATTCTCCAGGCAAGAATACTGGAGTCGATTGCCATGTCCTCCTCTAGGGGATCGTCCCGACCTGGGGGTCGAACACATGTCACTTATGTTTCCTGCTTTGGCAGGCAAGTTCTTTACCACTATATATATATATATATACATACATATACATATGTATATATATGAAGTCAGGCAGAATCACAGGAGATGGAATGATTGGGAGGACCCTTGGAAAACTGAAGATCCATGACCGGAACCAATTGTGTGCCTGCCTGGCAAACATTTGTCAGCCTCTATGTTCTATGGATGGCAAGACCTCTGATTAGAAGGGTTAACTGTAGGAAGTTTTCCTTAGGCATTGCTTGAAGTAGCCCACTGAGGCTTTAAGAATTCTTGTTTTAAATTAAAAAATATTTTTATAACTCCATCAAGGTACTCTTGATGTGTGATAAACTGCATATATTTACAATGCACAAGCTGATGAATTCAGATGTACTCATACACCCATGAGACCACCACTATAATCTAGTTACTGAGCACACCCGTCACCACCAAAATTCCAATAAGGTTGTCAATAACATGAATGGTAGATTTTCTAGACAAGGCCAGAAGGAAGGCCACAAGTTCAGCCTCAGAACAGTCTGTCAGTCATCTAAATCTTGAAAAGTACACTGTTTAAGATAAAAGTGGAATTTAAATTGAGCTACTCAAAGAATGATAAAGAAATGCCAGTGGAAAAAAATTGTTCAATGTTTTGTTTCTAGAACATATAGAAGTAAACAGGCAGAGATGGAAAGGAGAGCAAAAGTCCAAAATGGTACAAAAACTGGAGATCCGATCTTACCCTCCATGTTGGGATGATGACAGGCTGTGTGTCTCATTGATGCCAAAGGAATGAAGGAGTCTTTCCACCTTCCCAGCCCTGCTCATCGAGGACAGCTAGATTCCTGGTGTATGTGGTTGGGGAGAAACTGAAGCTTGCCATAGTCATATTCTTTACATCATATCCTAAGTACTTCAGGCTGTGTAGCCAAATCTTTTATGAAGCTCCAAGAAAACTGTTAGGGGTGTACAGTAAACGCTACAATTTCTGACTCTTGTTCTGTCCCTTCTCTCCTGCCCCACACTGGGCCGCACCCCATTAGGGATTGCCTATCTAAGCACCACAGGAGCTTGTGGGCAGGATATGAGCCACTGAACCTGAAGGAAAGGCATGAACATCAGCCTTCTCTGGCCTCTGTTTGTTAAACTATTTCTTCAAGAGAAAGTCATGCTCTTGTTGAAAATGCTGTTCCACTTAGATCTCTGTGTTTATTGAGTTGCTTAGAAGTGAACCTGCAGCAGGGTGGTAATACTGGCACAGTAGTAAAATCCTTCATCTCTCTTTGATGCCTTCAGGACCTCCAGCATAGCCTGGTTGGTTAAACCATCAATTTTACCTCGGAAGTTGTCCTCAAACCCAGGGCCATATGTACCCCCTTCTCGGTATATGAAAGTTATTTTGTTACCCGGGGTCTTCCTGTACCAGAAAATATAGTGTTTACTGATGGAGTCTCCTTTCATGGAGCAACTGAGGGTGACAGATTTCCCCACAGGCACAGTCTTTTCTTGGTCTTGAGGCACCAACACGACAGCTGACATGACTCCTAGAGAAAAGACACAAGATAGGCTCAGTGAAGACTGGGGCTAAGATCATTGAATAAGGGGTGCTATGCTCGAGGGCCTGGCCCTGGCAGCCTTGATGCCTCACTGAGTCTTGCTCAGTTAAGTTTCCAGGATCTGCCTTACCTGCCCAGAAGAGGGTGAGGTGGATGAAGGGGCAGACCCTCTGCATGGCTCGCTTGGGGACAGCTCTGCCTCCTGACTCGTCCTTGCCTTGTCCCTCCTCTGAGCCAACACCTTCTCTGTGACACGTTTCTGCCTGAGGAAACCAGCCTCTGGCAGCTGTTCTGTTACGGAAGAGAGATTTTGCCAATCACAGAAGGCATGTGGAGCCTGCTGCCTGTTTATGAGATGACAATGCCCGTCAATGCTGCCCACCCTAGAAGTTAAGTTTGATATTGTTGCTCCATTTTCATGTTAGAGGTATGTGTTGTATGCTCTGTGGTGCTGCTAAGAGTTAATTGCAAGAAGAATTATTGACATTTACAGCCATAATCATAAGAACCAGCAAATAAGGAGGTTGATAGTGTGTTCACAAGGACTGTGGGTATTGTAATGATTGTTGTGTTTACTGCCAACTCCCTCCAGGAAAAGTTGGATAAGGGTGACTGACTGATCCAAGTATAAAAGAGCAATCCAATGTAAAAAACGTAGAAACCACCACTACCTCCCAGTTTATGACAGCTAAATTTAGATGTACTTCAGAAGTACTTGAATGCTTGTGTATTTGAATGCTTGGGACCTGCACATTGGGTTTCAGGGTTAATGATCTATGAGATATTGAAATTAAACAGGTAAATTAGTAATGGAAACTAGAAAGTGCAGCTGAAGCCGGGAAGAGGATCACTTGGTCTACAAAGAGGTGTCCAATATCTGAGGATGGGTGCAGGACCTAAGTTGCCACACAGGTGGAGCAGAGACCCACCTGAGCTTTCTTGTTCCCCCAGTGTAACTGGGACCAGACTGGCCTGAGGGTTCAGGTGGAAGCAAGCTCAAGTTTGCTTGACCTCATGGTAGTTGCTTTTCTTCCTCTTGTCATCTCATTTATCCAACAGCCCATCTCACCTAGCATTTCTAGAGGACCATGGGCAAGTACTCAAGGTGGTCATGTTCTCTGACACTACAAACTGCAATATCTATACCCATAGGATGTGTACGTGTTCTCTACAGTTTATTGCCAAGAGCAACTTTCTGGGCTTACTTACCTGATCTTTTTATATCAGCTTGCTTGGCTCTTGGCACATCCTATAAATCTAGTCATTTTTACTATGCACCAGACCTTGAGGATTCAATGATGAACGACAGATATGGTCTCTTCTCTCACGGAGTTTAGTTTCTAGCATAAGTGCCAGTCACTGCTTACTGATTTGCATAATAAATTTCTTCAGTGCTGCAGACTGACAAAGACCTTGCAGACGCAGGGTTTTGAGAGCATGTTACAGGGGCCAGGATCTGGTCAGGAGGTCAGGGAAGGCTTTTCTGAAGAAGTGACTTTGCAGTTGAGACTCAAAAGCAGAAGTTACCCTAGAGTGCTGGGTAGTGTCTGTTTGTCCTTCCAGATCACTCTATTTCCTCCACTAGGACAGGGGCCCCCAACCTCTAGGCTGCAGACCAGTACCTCCTCTCAGATCAGCTGCAGCACGAGATTAGAAATAAAGGGCACAATAAATATAATGCCCTTGAGTCATTCTGATACCATGCCCACCTCCGGGTCCATGGAAAAATTGTCTTCCACAAAACTGGACCCTGGTGCAAAAAATTTTGGGGACCACTGCTCTAGGAGGCTAACCTCCATGGACAACATCCACCTGGTTCCCTTGCTTGCTGACATCTTGTTCATTTTGGCCAATGGGAGGCACCATCAGGAGACTGGAGAGAAGGAGAAGGATGAGGTGGTGTGTTTTCACTCCACGCTACTGCCTGTTGGCTGTGCCTTGCTAGTCTCTGCTTTCCTTCACCGGAGGCTGCAGGTTTTGGTAAAGGCTCTTGTGCTTCATACTTCAGGCCTAGAGTGGCAGCTGTTTTTCTGTCACCAAACCCAGATGTTTCACTATCTTTTTCTGGGTTTCCCATAAGCCAGCAGTATTCATTTCTTATGGCTGCCTTAACAAAGTACCACAAACTGGATGGCTTAAAACAACAGGTTTATTGTCTCACAGTTCTGGGGGCTAGAAGTCTGAAATCAAGGTGTCAGCAGGGCCATACCCACTCTGAAACCTTTAGCAGGATCCTTCCTTGCCTCTTCCTAGAGGCTGGTGGTTTGCTGGCAGTCCTGGGTGTTCTTTGGCTTGGCTGGCCTTTGCTGTCATGTGGTGTTTGCTTAGCGTCTGTGTCTTTACAGGGCTTTCTTACAAATTCATCAGTCATGTTGGATTAGAGGGCTACCCTACTCCAGTCTGACCTCATCTTAACTAATTACATCAATTGCAAAGATGCTATTTCCATATAAGGTCACTTTCTAACCTATTGGGGGTTAGGACTTGAACATGTTTTTCTTAAGGGACACAATTCCATTCTTAACACCTGCCCACAAATGTCCTTTTCATTGGAGTCTCTCTAATCACCCCTTTGACAGTGCCCTGTCTCTCCTGCTGGGACTCTGCTTGATACACCAAGTATAGGGGGCCTGTGAAGGGAAAGAACTTTCTGCAGAAGAAAGGAGGACATATTTTTTAAAAGCTCCGAGGCAGGAGGAAGTGCTGTAGACCTAAAGTTGCCTTAATATCTAAAGAACAGTTAGCAGGACTCAAATAAGCCTATCTTTTTAGATAATTATTGTTGAATTCTTCATTCAGTAAGTCATTCTGAAAAATTCCAAGATAGTGCTTATGTTTATGACTGTGATTTCTATCTGCCACAGGTTAGAGGTAATTTTAAGAGTTTTATGCTAATGGACAAAGACAACCTTACCCTGGGTCTGATGAGGAGAGAGTCTGCCTGAACAATAAATCAAGCCAGAGGTGGAAGATACCAGTGGGGAGGGAATAGGTTTTGTGGGAGCTGGGGCAGAGTGTAGGGGCTTTCCTGGTGGCTGAGACTGTAAAGAATCTTCCTGAAATGCAGGAGACCCTGGTTTGATCCCTGGGTCAGGAAGATCCCCTGGAGAAGGAAAATGGGGCAGGTTGTGGCTAGGAGACTACCTGGTCAGGAAGAGTCAGGATCTGCTACAGCAGCTTGGGCTGGGCCCCTGGCAGGAGCAAGATGGAACTTAAGCACAAACAGCCTATGCAGGTTGCCTAGGTAGAAGGTAGAAAGGTGTGCCAGGGCCCCACCCTTGGATGCCCCCTTCCTCAGGCTCTGAGCAGGCTCTGTTCCTGGTGAGTTGTAATTCTTTCTGCCTCCTGCTCAGCAATTAGGTCACAACTTTCCAGTCCCTGGGGGATGTCTGGCCATTCATGTGACAGGAGAGAGCTCTCAGGAAGAACTTATGTTTCTTCACAGTCTGTGAGGAATACTTGAAATTATATTTGCGGACACTTGGCTCATTGCTTGGCTATTTGTTAGTTTCCTTCTTTTTTGACATTTATATAAAAACCAGGACATCTGAGACTTGGACAGTTAGTAGGAGAGACAAGACTATGATGGGATGCTTTATCCATTCTTCTCCATGATCTCCATCAGCCCCCCATTCTTTCCATCTTTCTCAAATCTTATGTGCTATGAAAACACCACCTCAAGGCACATTCCTCAGGCATCTTTCTACCAGATCACAGCCCCTCAGCCCCACCTTTTTGCCTTTGTATGCAGTACTTTGGGTGGTGCTAGTGGTAAAGAACACACCTGCCAGTGCAGGAGACGTAAGAGACGCAGTTTTGATCCCTGAGTTGGGAAGATCCCCTGGAGGAGGGCATGGCAACCCACTCCAGTATTCTTGCCTGGAGAATCCCATGGACAGAGGAGCCTGGGGGGCTATAGTCCACAGGGTTGCAAAGAGACGGATACGACTGAAGGGACTTCGCATGCAGGCACGCGCATTTCTTTGTGAGGTATAAGTGTGGCCTCATTCTTGCTTAGTCTGGTCTTTATCTCCTGTGTAATCCCTCCAAAACACCTGTGGGACCCATCAGTTCAGTTCAGTCACTCAGTCATGTTCAACTCTTTGTGACCCCATGGACTGCAACATGACAGGCTTCCCTGTCCATCACCAATTCCTGGAGCCTGCTCAAACTCATGTCCCTTAAGTCGGTGATGCCATCCAACCATCTCATCCTCTGTCGTTCCCTTCTCTTCCTGCCTTCAATCTTTCCCAGCATCAGGGTCTTTTCCTAAGAGTCAGTTTTTTGCATCAGGTGGCCAAAGTATTGGAGTTTCAGCTTCAGCATCAGTCCATCCAATGAATATTCAGGGCTGATTTCCTTTAGGATTGACTGATTTGCTCTCCTTGCAGTCCAAGAGACTCTCAAGAGTCCTCTCCAAGACCACAGTTCAAAAGCATCAATTCTTTGGCTCTCAGCTTTCTTTATAGTCCAACTCTCACATCCATCCACGACTACTGGAAAAACCATAGCTTTGACTAGAGCCACTAGAGCCTTTGTTGGCAAAGTAATGCCTCTGCTTTTTAATATGCTGTCTAGGTTTGTCATAGCTTTTCTTCCAAGGAGCAAGCATCTTTTAATTTCATGGCTGCAGTTACCATTTGCAGTGATTTTGGAGCACTCCAAAAAAAGTCTGTCACTGTTTCCATTATTTCCCCATCTATTTCCATGAAGCGATCGGACTGGATGCCACGATCTTAGTTTTCTGAATATACATCAAGGTTGTATTGTCACCCTGCTTATTAAACTTATATGCAGAGTATGTCATGAGAAATGCTGGGCTGGATGAAGCACAAGCTGAAATCAAGATTGCTGGGAGAAATATCAATAACCTCAGATACGCAGATGACACCAACCTTATGGCAGAAAGCGAAGAACTAAAAAGCCTCTTGATAAAAGTGAAAGAGAGTGAAAGAGTTGGCTTAAATCTGAACATTCAGAAAACTAAGATCATGGCATCCAGTCCCATTACTTAATGGCAAATAGATGGGGAAATAATGGAAATAGTGGAACCCACACCGGTCCTCAAAATGCTGACTGAAATGAAATGATTTCTTCTGTTCATGGGATGTCTGACTTGAAAGTGAGTCACTGTCTACAACACACCAGGAGCACACAGGAACATCAGTAAAGAGAACATTCTCAAGATCACGGCCACAGGAAGGACCTCAGGCCTTGGGATTGTGGCTCTAAAGATAAGTCATATCATTACAGAAACATCTGCTTCCTTCAGACTTACCAGACAGAGGAAGGTTAAGAAAGGCATTACTGACCTTAATATACAAACTGTGCTTCTGGCTTTTCCATTAGTGCACAGTGGTTAGAGAGTGCTGTGAGGCTGAGGTAGTTAATATTTCAGTAAATATTTTCAGGGCCAGAGTGCTGCCTGAGGAGCCCCAAGCAAATAAACACAGATGACATAGCAATGGAGAAAGATCTGTTTATTGGCCTCACTGAAAATAGAAGGAAGAAGGAAAGATTTGAGGGTAGTAAGTAGGGACCTTTGCAAGCCTTCTCATCACATTTCGGCTTTCACTTCCCCATAACCTCAAGCAGAGAGCTGCTTTTCCAGTTCTTCAAGTTGAGTATGTTCTTTGAACTCATACTCTATTTTTTGAATTTGCACAGACTGCTGTGAGCAGGCAGCTGGGTAACCCCAACTCTGCTCACATGACCCTCAGACCAAATACTGTCTACCAGTAGGCTGGGCAGGGTCCTTGGGAGCCCTTGTTTCCCACAGCCTCCTCTAGTGTCAAGGGGCAGTTGTTCTGTAGTGGAGAGACCACTGGATTTAGACTCGGAGAATCTGGGTTTGTACCTGACATCACCACTTACTTGCAAGTCACTGAACTTCACTAAGCCTCAGTTTTCTAGACAGTAAAATGGGGATAATGCTGCCTCATTCGGTCTTAAAATAATATGCATGGGTACACATTGTGACTGACCTATAGGGACACCTACCCTTAGATCATTGTGGGAGATGGGAAGAGTAGGCTTTGTTGTCACCCGTGCGGAGCCAGGGGCTTCCCAGGTTGTCCTAGTGGTCAAGAATGCACCTGCCAATGCAGGAGACGTAAGAGGCGCATGTTTTATCCCTGGGCTGGGAAGATCCCCTGGAGGAGGGCATGGCAACCCACTCCAGTATTCTTGCCTGAAGAATCCCATGGACACAGGATCCTTGTAGACCACAGTCCATAGGGTCGCACAGAATTGGACATAACTGAAGTGACTTAACACGCACGCACACAGGCAGAGCCAGAGGAGTTGCCCTGTGAGGGCAGCCAGTAGTAAGTCCCTCCTCTCTCACTGTAGTTTCAAGAATCTCCAGGGAGAATTAGCCTCTGCAAGTAAAGTTGTTCTGGATATTGGGGCCATAGAAGTCTCCTCATTGGTATATAAAGTTCAGGGAGCCATCTTGGTTCCTCTGACACAAGTATATCATGAAATTATTAATTTCCCTGCCCCTGTCATTTGGCACTGCAAAATATCGCTTTTTCTAAAAGGAACAAACACCTCTTCTTGCTCCAACAAGACATCTGACTTGATTCCTGAAAAGCAAAGTCAAAAGAAAAGAAGAGAGAGAGGAGCCCCATCAGAGCGTCAAGGGGCTGAGGTATCAGAGTGGCATTACGGAGCCACCTTCCAGTTTCGTCTTCTTATCGTCTCTCCCGGGAGTCACTTCACCAGGGAAGTCATTTTTCCATTCACCCAATTATTGGGCAAACATCCACTCACTTCTATGGTGGGTTGGCTCCTTGAGGGTGACAGCATTTCGGGCTCTTCAGGGCTCACCTGGCCCAGGAAGAAGCTGCAGGATCTGCAGTTCTGAGGCTCCAAGGTGGCTCCTATCTGGGCAACCGAGTGGCAGGAGATGTGCTGTGTGGCTTCCCCTGAGTTCTGAAGAGTCTGCTTCTGGGACTGTCTCCCCGTCCTTTCTTTCTCATCTCACCCTCAGTGCCTCTGGCACTCACCTGTGTGCTGCTGGGCTTGCCTGTGGACAACGCGAAAATGAGCCCGAATCAGCAGATGTTCTGCCCCCAGAAAACAGCCTCACCAGTTTTACAGACAATCGGGGGGCTTTTTCTTTCTCCTGCAAATGGCAGCATCTCCCTCGTAGAGTGACGCCAATATTTTGGCAGGGCACATGTACTATTTAGATTCAGACAGCTTTTAATTTTCCTTCCCCCCTTGTTGTGGATGTTCCTTTTATTTTTTGTTGCCGTATATTTATTTTGGATCTTTTATTTATGTACCCAGGGAGCTGCTTCCTAGAAAGGGAGACAGACTTTGCCAAAATGCCCATCTTCCACAGGACCAGGGCCCATAACTGTCACACAGGATTTAACGGAAAATATGATTGCATTGGATTTAATTTTTAGTAGCAGTTAAGTGTCTCCTGTAGTACTCTGCTCATGTCAAGGGCCCTGTAAGTGTCAGTGCTATACTAGAGAAAGCACAGCACAAAATAAGCATAATGGGAAGATGGAGTAAGTGGAGCGGGCAATGAAAATTAAATGAGAAAAAGCAAAGTTAAAGCATGAAAGAAGGTTTAATGGGGTATTGTAGAATTAGCTACTGAAAGGACAAAGTAGAACAAACTAAAAATAAAGAGGAAATATCACAGCTTAGACAAGAGGAGTGTAGAGGCAGAGGAAAACTAGAGAGGTAATTAGCACAATCGCGTCCACCTTGATGCAGTGGTTCTACATCTTGGCCTCACACTGGCATCCTCTGGGGAGTTTTGAAAAATACTGAAGCCTGGGTGCTATCCACAGAGAGTCCGATTTAATTGGTTGGAGATGAGGTCCAGGCATCAGGATGTAAAGAAAACTCCCTAGTTTAATTCTGATGTGCAGCTAGGGTTGAAAACCACTGTGTAAGAGAATCATTTAGTAAAACAAAGAACATAGTGCAGTGAAGGCTTATAGTGTTGGCCTTGGGAACAAGCCAAAACCTGTGGCCAGATGTCACCTATGACTGGGACAGTCTGTCAGTCTCATCCTTTTCTCCAGGACCAAGAGAGGGCCCTCAATAACTCTCCTCTCTGGTGATGGCTCACTGCCCACCTCCTATGGATCAGAGGGCAGGAGGGCCTATTGAGGTCAACTTCAGCTATCTCCCGGTTGCCCTGAATGCCCACAGCAGTGCTGGGCACTAAGTAGGTGTTTAGTAAACAGTTGTTAAGTGCTTTTGTCCTTGTCCTTCTGGGTCCTTCTCTGCTGATTAAAATGGGCAAAGCCTGTGATTCTTGGTTCCTCCTCTTCATTCTGCCCTGACCGTCAAGATCTAAATTATACCCTACTCGACTTCCTCCTGAGAGGATGAATTCAGCCAGGAGAGCGTGCTGGCTGTGATTTCTTAGGTTGGACAGCACATCACCGTGCGTGTGGGGTGGGACGCAGCCTGCAGCACCAGACCCACAGGCTAGTGGGTTCTTGATGTGTTTCATCATGTTCTCTTTTCCTTCTCTTTCTTGCTCCCACCCTCCCTCCCTCTTTCCTTCCTTGATTCTGTCCTATAATTCCCAGGCTCACAGCAGAGCCCAGTCAACCAAGGAGACCTGCCATAAAGAGTGAAAATGTGTGCAGTGCCCTGAAGTGGCCACGTGGTTTTGAAGGGGGTGAATTACCTTCTGCCCTCCTGAAACTGCTGATTTCACAGTGAAGATTGCTGTCACAGTGAGAGCTGTGGGTAGAATGTAAATTTATTGCTGTCTCCAGAACTACTCTTTCTTTTCCCCTGCCTGCTGGAATCACCGTGGGGGTCTGGTGGTCCTCAGGTGGAACATGGAGAGGCCAGAACAGAGCTGTTCATGCTGATAAGAGGCTAATCCTATACCTTTGTCGATAGAAGTCTATTTATAAAATAGCAAACCCCAAACAATGGTAATTTTGTACTTCCCAAACAATGCTAATTTTGTACTTCCATCCAACAATATCCAATAGAGAGGAAAAAGCTGGAAAAACCTGGATTGGGCCCAGAGGTTATTTGTTTTACAGGCTTGGAATAGAAGCCTGTAAAGCCTCCCCCTCTGTAATATTTCTCTGCACATAAGAAAAAACACCCCGACTCTCCTCCCCTAAAGGGGAGAAAAATATTTTTCTCAAGGTTCTTATTTGGCAGTAGAACTGGAGAACAGGTCAGAGAGAGGGAGAAGATAAATTTTTTTTTTCTCCTTTGGAGATGGGAGTTTATGAGACTGTAGAATGTCTGTGTTTCCATGCCTTTAAGGAGATCCAATTCTGTAACTTGGGCACGATGTAAAATTAAGCTATCATACATCTTATATCCTCTAACCTGCCAAGGTGCCCAAGGCAGAGGGCAGTGACAGTATTGGGCTCTCCCAGAACCCCAGGGAAATCCCCTGCCTTACCTTCCACAGGGAAGCAAACCAAGCCCTTTATCCTCCAATCAAAGGGAGAGGAAATAGCTGAGGGTGAACTCTTCCCACTCCACCTCAAGCAAGAGACACTGAGATGCCCCTTTTCTCTGGTTGGGACTGTGCTGCCAGAGGAGGCGAAATGCCAAGATGGAGAGGCCTCACTTTCTCTTCCTTGGGAGAAGGATGTGGTGACCCAGCTGCCAGAACAGCTGTGGCTCCCACAGCCACCAGCAAACACTTGGGTCATCCATACTTTTTTCTGATTGGCCTTCCAGCCCAAACACAGCTCCAGGGTATCTCCTAATTCTTGGGCTCTGAACTAACACATTTTTTTGCTTAGTTTTTTTTTTTCCTCATTTATTTTTATTAGTTGCAGGCTAATTACTTTACAATATTGTAGTGGTTTTTGTCATACATTGACATGAATCAGCCATGGATTTACATGTATTCCCCATCCCGATCCCCCCTCCTTTGCTTAGTTTTATCACAGGTTGGATGGGGAAAAGGAATGAGACTGAAAGAATGCTAAAACATGTGGTCAACTCTAAAGATACAGAGCTGAGGAAAAAATGGAAGGAAAACATGGACACACTCTAGGGTGCTTTGGGGAAGGCAGCTGGGTAGATTAAAAAAAAGTGGCCAGGAGGTACCTCTGGGGGCTGGAAAAAGAGACTCTGAAACCAGTGAAGTGGGAAAGCCAGTGTGTGAGTGGATGTTGGTCTGACAGCAGCTTGGGTTACCATAACCCTTGTCATGTCCCAGGAACGGCACCCACCCTACATTTGCTGCGGCCCCATTGCCATACCCTCTGTAACTCTGACATTCTCCTTGGTTATGTGGGGTTTGTGATGAGTCTCTGGTAGAAAGTGGGCATGGGTATAAGACCAAGGACTGGGGTAAATACAATGTTATTCATATATCATATTCACCATGGCTGGAGACACAATAGTTACAAGTGGTTGTTTTATGATGACCGCAGTATTGCTGTGTTCAAGTCTAGTTTAGAATGCAGGTGCTGTTATATTAATCATGGAAGTGACAAGTTAAAGGGCTGTTAACACTGAGCTGCATAATGAACACTTGGTATGAGTGAATGAAGAGAATGCTGAGTAGAAATATAAGCTACCCAAGTTGGCAGGGCTTTAATTGCCGAGGAGTCTGAGAGTTTGCACACATGCGTGACTGAGAAGTGACTGTGAACTGGGATGTTACCAAAGAGAGTGAAGGAAGAACCATGGGTAGTGAAACAGTCCTGCGTGAGGAAGAACCTCAGCATCCATCAAATGGAAGCAACACTGTGAGTGAAATCACGGTCTGTGACAGAGCACACAACATCAATCTAAACCGACCTCAGTGTCCAGGCTGCAGTGAGAAATCAGGGATGCAGGAAAACAAAAGATGCAGAGGGAAGGGCACGTGCCAAGAAGATGGGCTGAAGAGCCCAGGGAAAGGGGATTTTTTGCAAGACTCAACTGACAGATAATCATCTATCTCTGTCAGAGGACCTTATTTTCAGATATGCCAGTTCAAGTTCTAGATTGGTGACCCAGAGACTGCGGTGTGCTAGGAGGAGAACTGTTGCCTCCACTCACAATCTGCCGTGTTTGTGTTGACTTACAACGTGGCTGGGGACTCAGCTGGACTGCATACTAAATGCCTGGTAGAATTCCTAAAACCGCTGTCGGCCCAGAGAACCCTTTGTTAATAAATATTACAGCACAATCTGTGTTTTTCAGGGAAGTGTGATAGGGAAAGGAAACCAGCAGGAAAAGAAAATAGAGTTTAAAATGTCACGGTAGTTGAAAAATATTTATTTTTATGGAAGAGAGGTAATCCAGACGATTTTCCTCTCATTTTGAAAGACTAAACCCTAAGCTTCAAGCATGTGGAGGCCAAGGACAGATTTTTTTCAGGGCAACTAAAATTAGTTAAAGCAGCTTCTGTGTACACACACCAAGGGGTCATGGGGTCATGTCTACATTATAACCAGGGCCTCTCTGTATGGTCTTCATGACCCCCAACCCACTTTAGCAGATCATCAAGTACAAACAGGCTCTTGGATTTTCTCTAGACAATCCTTAGCTTCCATCAGTCCTCTTTTCTTCTAAAGGTATATGAGATGAGCTGATTTTGATGGGTGGAAGAGGCCTTGGGAAGAGCTTGGAAAAGAACAGGATCAAAATTCAGATGAAGGAGCAGAGGTACAGTTGCCACAAGCTATTATAGCAGCTGTTGAAGCATCTTCCTGGAATCCAGGGGGTCTTCCTCTTTTGTCCTCCTCTTTGGTTCTGAATCTAAATCAAGGAATCAGCATTATGTGGTTGAACCCTTGCTCTAGTTGGGTGGGAGAGTTTTAAGCAAACCCTTGTCATTTGCTTTTATCTTTTCTTTTCAAAGGAGGGAGCAGATACAAATGGGCACTGACAAACCAGCCTTGCCAGATGGGCTGTGGCAGGTAGGCAATTTATTAATATAAAACCTTTGAGGCAGCTCCGGTGACCACAAGGGATGATATTGGCTCCATTTGGCATTTTTAAATTTAAGTATTCACTTCATGTCAAAGTATGTAGCTGTGTTCTCTCATCTGAGGTTGTTCATTTGGAAATACAGAAGGATGAGGCATTATTTCTTTAAATAAAATATTCCCTTTCATTACTGGCTGTGTGCCAGAGATCCCTAAAGCGGAAATTCAGCTCACATATTAAATTCAATAATCATATATTAAACACTTACTATGCAACACCCCGTAGAAACTGGAGATGAAACAGAATTCCTACCCTCAAGGGGTTTATAAATTAGGAGGAGCATAAAGGAAGTTTCTAAACAATCATGGAAAAAGAGAGGAAACATGAAATGACTCAAGAGAGTTAAGTGCAGAGAAAAAAAAAAATTTAAAAAAGAGAGTGAGAGAGAGGTGTAAGTGCTAGGGTGGTTCAACTGGGGGGAGATCTTATCCTCAAAGGGGAGTTTTGCATTGGAGATATTAATTTGGGGGTCTTAACCACGTCTGTGAGCATGGTCAACTCTGTGAGCGTGAATGAGATCACCTAGGGGAAGATACAGAAAGGAAGAGGGACCTGGACAAGGTCCCTTAGTGCTCTGTATTCAGAAGCTAGGTAGAAGAGTCTACAAGGGGACTGAGAAGGAGAGGCCAGTGATATAGAGGAAAATCAGCAAAGTACAACATCTCAGAAGCTAAGCCTGGAAATTTCTGCAGCTCAAGAATAGAGACGCAGACAGAGAGAATGGACTTATGGATATGGGGAGGGAAGGGGAGGGTGGGATGAACTGAGAGAGTAGCACTGACATATATACACTACCGTGTGTAAAATAGCTAGTGGAAAGCTACTCCATAAGGCAGGGAGCTCAGTTCAGTGCTCTGTGATGACCTAGATGAGGGATGGGGCTGGTGGTGGGAGGGAGGTCCAAGAGAGAGGGGATATATGTGTGGCTGATTCACTTCTTTGTACAGCGGAAACAAACACAACATTGTAAAACAATAATATTCCAATAAAAAGAAAAAAGAAAAAAATCGCCAGTGGTAAAGTACACAGGTGAGAGGTTGTATAGTTGTTGGCTATTTATTCCTTTCTCTGCTTTATGTCTGTCTCCTCTTATCTTAAGGAGGGCAAGGCCCCTGTTTAGTTCAAACATGTACTCAAACACGTCTGGCGTGGCATTTGGCACAGAAAGGACTCAAGATATATTTGATGCAAAAAGGAAGAATTAAAGCCGGTCCAAGGTATGTGTAGATGGTGACTGCAGCCATGAA